GCAGTTAAGCAAGTATGAAAACATGAGAATTGATTAGGTTTTATTTCTTCTTTCCCACGGTTGGCACCATTTTCAAGATGTGTTTATTATGTAACCTTGCCATTTCCCGATTCTTCAATAATATATCTTTCACATATAAAATGGTATTGAATATGTCATGAAGTGAAAGCTACTTTTCCAAAGAACAATAGTAGGAATGCTTAATAAGTTCATGGGTGCAATTTACTTGTCTTGTAAAGCAAAGTAGTCAAAAGAGTTTTAAATTTGTTTAACTTTGTACTCTCACGTTATGAATAACGTAAAGGCTTGTTAGTTATAGAAATACTAATTTTTCAATCTGTTAAGAATAGCTTATGGCAGTATGGATTCTTGCTAAATTGTTCCTAGATATTTTTCTGCTTTTTGTTTTTCATTTTATCCCAGGATTTTCTATCCCATAATAGAATGGGGGAAGCAGAACACTGAGTGCATCAGAATAGTAGCCATCTAGGAGTTCAGCTCTTGAGGGAATCTAGATTAAAGAGGGATAATCAGGGGAAAGCTTTGCGATGCTTCTAGACAGCTAAGATTTAATGAAACAAGGTTCCTGAAACTTGAAGATTAGGTAAAAATAGAATTGGCTTGTCATCTCATTTCATCCCTGCTGCTAATTGGGCAGATGGAGCCCACACCTCCATCGGGATGCTCTTTCCCCTTAAGACCTCTCTCCAACCTGCTGAGCACAGGCCTTCCAACAAAACTAACCGTTGACATCATCCACCTGGGAAGATACACAAAATCAAACACCTCCGTGTTTTAACACATTTTTCTCTGTGGTAATGGAGTTAACAACTGTTGGTTGAAGTGCAATAAGTTTTATTTTTAAGAGTTTGAATGTGGCAATGAGAAAAAAATAATTTGAAAGAAAATATTTGAGATACAATAATATATAGAGATAGTTTAATTACAATATGTGAATCCAATTCAAATGTCAGAAATAAAATATTGATGATTAGGCTCAGCATGTTGGCTCAGTATCTATCTCCTCAATGTCCAATCCACTATGGGCGACAGTTCATGTCCTGGCTGTTCCACTTCCCATCCAGCTCTCTTTTCCAGTCTGGGAGAAGGTGGAGGATGACCCAAAGCCTTGTGACCCTGCACTCACATGGGAGACTCAGAAGCTCCTGGCACTCATTGACTTAATGTAAATTAAGTAAATGACTTAATGTAAATAAGAATAATGAATAATATGTCCCACTGCTTGAATAAAATGCATCTAATAGTTCAACATGAAGTGAAATTTTCAGATTATATTGATGAGTTTTCAAATGTTCTAGAAAAAACTTCCATTAGTTTGCATGCTAATTACTCATTTTTCATTAAGCAGGTGTTTACTTGTTCATATTATTTTGGCATGTGATGGATTATATGTTGGATAGTGAACATCATTAATAAATTTTCTAATATGATCTCATACTTAGCACTTGCAGTTAACACAGTGGAAACACGATGCAGGTGTGTTTGCTGTAGATGTGTGTAATTGAACTTATGCACCAGTAAGTGGCATCCCTCCCGGGCCCAGGGCAATGGGCATTTGGTGTGTGGGTAGAATCAGTCCTTGCTCCACGTGTCCCTCTCCTGGATGGCTCATTCCCCAGGCGCACCCTCCCCAGTGGCTCAATCCCCAGTGGCCTGCCCTTCTCGGTCAGGGGGCCATTGATCAGGTTGTCTGGAGGTTTTTCAGCTTTGCCTTCCTTCACCACAGTTTTATGGATATTTTTTTGCCTCTCCCTCTCTCTCGGGGGGACTTCCACTGGGCGGGGGGGGGGGGGTCTTCTTGTTCCTGCTCCCTCCCCCATACTCATTAGAAACTCACCATGCTTTTGTGTGGGACTTTGAGTGCCTTCCAGTAGCTCTTCTGAGCTGCTGGCTGCAGCTGTGGAATTATATACGTATATATGTGTGTGTCTCCAGTGCTTCTCCCTTTTCAGCTCTCTGTTCCACCTGTTCAGCTCCAGAGCTCTCTGTACTCTCAGCTAGTGCTGCCTCCCCTCCTGGCCATCCTGTCATCCTCAATGGTTTCTCCTTGGGACCATTTTGTTGCAAATGGTAGCATTTCATTCTTTTAAAAGGCAGGGTAGAATTCTGTCAAGTAGATATATTGTTAGGTTTTAAAATACGGTTAAGTTCTTACGTGCAGCTAATTTCCGCAGTCAAGTCCGCTTCTCAGGATTAGTTCACCGCAAGGCCAATTACCAACCGTGATGAGGTTATTAGGAGGTCCTTAATTCCAGCAGGGTATGAATGGGAGCAGGGGCGGAGGGGGAGAAACCTAGAAGGGACATGTGTCCTGCCATGGTGGCAGGGTGGAGGGCTGCCAGGCCAGGGGAAGGGGACCATCCAGGTAAAAAGGGGAGGGAACAGGAAGTGAAGGGTAGGCACCTGTGAAGGCTCATTCCTGCAACTTGCAGGTGAGCATGCAAGGTGTGGGCTGTGTGGGGAATTGGTGGGAGGGGCTGTGGGCGGGCCCCAAGCAATTGTTGGCTGAGATAATCTGAGCCTTTAGTAGGTGGGCCTGGATTAGGAGGAGGGGCTGCAAGAGATTGGGGGCTCGGGTTCTCAGGTAAGAAACCGTGAGGTAACATTTCATTGGTGGATCGCCGGAATGGCGCGAATTTCACCAACCGTGGGGAAGGGGAGGCAGGAAGGGCGCCGGGTCCCAGACGGGATGTTTCAATCACTCCTTCATTCCTGTTTCGATGGGCACGCTTATTGTGTACTTGTCTTCACTATTGTAGATTGTGCTGGTATAAATTCAGGGTTAGAGGTCACATTTTCATGGGATATAGCTATCCCTAGAGATAGGATAGCTGGGTCATTTGGTAGATGCATTTTTAAATGTTATTTCTTAATTAACAAATGCTAGGAGTTTATTTTATTGTTCTTTCCCAAGCAGCTCTCTCGGAAAGACCTACTTTTTAAATGCCATCTTTGCTATCGGTTTTACACATTTCTGATACAGTTGTTTTTCCCTAATTTAATTAGATTGTTTCACTTGCAACTAAAATTCTGTGTTCCTATCTAAAATAAATAAGTGCATAAGCTTTACTGATTTTAGTTGTCTAAGTTAGGAACAGCTATTACTTTGAAAAACACTTCAGTGATTCTCTTCAAAGAATTTGGCAGTAAATGGAACATTTAAGCCTGAAACTCCTTCTCAACTTAAAAAACAAACAAGCAAACAAAAATACAATAAAAAAATGTTTTTTTTCCAGTCCATTCTTTAATTCTTAATTTGTTCTCTCTAATGGATTCTATTGGAACAGTTCCTGTTTGCAAAATATGAAAATATGTTGCTTTGGTAATATGATTATGTATATAATTGTATTTAACCGAACAAATAAAAGAGAAGTAACTTCAGCCTATTTGGCTCTAGTTAAGCTAAGGCGAAAATCAGTTTCCCACCTTTATGATGGTAAAACTCCTTGAGGATTGACTAAATTCCAACCTGTAGGCTGTAATTTTTTTAGCGACTTTCCCCCAAAGAAGCACATTCAGAATTGCTTCTATTTCCAAATTTGTTAAGGAATACTCTAGGGGCCAATATTGCAGTAGAGCAAGTAAAGTTTCCTCCTGCGGCCCTCGTGTCCCATACATGACCATTTAGAATTCCGGCTCCCTCATTCCCGATCTAACTCCCTAACGAAGATTCTCAGAGAGCAGCGGAAAATGGGCCGGGTATCCAGGCCCTGTTCCCGTGTGGGAAACTCAGAGGAGTTTCCTGGCTCTTGGCTCCTGGCTTTGGTCAGGCCAGCCCTGACTATCGCAGTCATTTGATGAGTGAACCCTCTGATAAATTATCTGTCTCTCCACTCCCTCTTTCTCTTTCTTACTGCAGCTTCCGAATGAATGAAAGGAAATACTGTAAGCTAAGCACTCAGCAAACTTCTACTTCTGTTATCTAAAGAAAGTAAAGCTTTTTAATGTGTCAAACCTGCACAACTCCTATATATATATATATATATATATATGAGCAAAGTATCATGTACCATTTGTTATGTTAAAGGAATAGATGTTTTATATATGCACATATACATTTGTGCATATTAACACTGATGTAATTAACTCTGAGGACAATATTGTTCAAGAACAGAGGCTGGATTCATGATGATGAGAAAATTGGGAAGTGAAGACCTACAGGATATCGTTGATCTAGCTTGTTCAGTAAATACACATTTCCATGCTCAAAATCTGAATACCGTGTTAGTGATCGTCACAAAGTCCGTTGGTTTTGTCTGTAATGAATTTGTATTGGAATTGACTGTGATTGACTTTTTATTTTAGAGTTGTATTTCAAAGTCATTTTCATTGTGAGACCCTTAAACACTGAAGGTAAACTGTGTTTGATTATTAAATATGAAGTTAGGGTGTGCACAATATCTACTTTAGAGTGTGAAAGCGAGCTGATTCTTACAGAGTTGCCTGGTAACTAATAAATATTATATCCATTTGGGAGACAGGTCTGGGCAGAGCAGAACTCAAGACAATGGGAAGATTGTTGTCAACTTTAGCCTTGCAAAGCTAAGAATGGATTAGAATCCAAATGAAATTGAAGGACAGCAATTGATGAAAGTTTCTGTCTTTTTGATGCAATTCTTTGCCAAGTTCACTCTTAAAACTTTTGTTTTCACCAGCAATTTCTGTTCGATGTAGAGCTGTTGACAACAAATTCTAAAAATATCATTTAATATCTGTTGAATTAAAACCGAATGATCCAGGGCATTTGAGAGGCTGTATTATTCATTAAATATTCATTAACTTTGTGATTATGTATAATTTTTTCATATAAATTATTATTTTTAGAGAAAAAAATGTCCATTAAGAGTTGTTAGTTTTAAGAAAATATGTTATATGATTTTTTATACTGTTGTGTTTCATGAGTGTGTGTGCAAGAGCATATCAGATTGTTGGTCAAATAGTTATTTAAGGATTTTGATCTATTTCTGTTTTAATTCCAGCAGGAAAAAAACCAAGACAGTTCAAGAATCAAAGGTAAGGAATTATTGTCTTAAATAACAGTTATATAAGTTTGTAGGAGATAGAAAATGCTGTGGTGTTCCCTTGAAAGTCAAGCGCACTCTGAGGACACAGTGACTTACAGTCCTCAGAGCGGTTCTTGTACTGTCTTGAACTCTTGGATAATTGTCTGGAACAACAGGGGTCTCTCTGGAGATCTCTTTTCAGAGACCCCTGGGGAGCCTCTGCATGATTTCTGGCGATTCCCATATATTCTGGCGGGATTGTTGTCTCTGTGAGTTTGTATGTTGTCAGCAATGTGAGTAGACAGATGCAATGTGCAAAGCAGACCTCATGGAGAATCAGGCATTGAGGCATTTCCACCTCATTTGGTTTTCCTTGAAAAAGCCAGAAGCTATTTATGGACTAAAAGTTTTTGATACTTATTGATAGAGCCACATTTGGTGAGACATGGGATGATTCACTTCCCTACAAACTGGATTTTTTCCATTTCAGTGTTGGATCACTGAGATAATAAAGGAATGTAATTGGCTTGTGACTCTGAGTGGGTGCTGGCATTGCCCTGTGGTGACCGCTGCATTCACGTGTGGCCCTGGTCCTGAGTGGGTGCTGGCATTGCCCTGCGGTGACCGCTGCATTCACGTGTGGCCCTGGTCCTGAGTGGGTGCTGGCATTGCCCTGCGGTGACCGCTGCATTCACGTGTGGCCCTGGTCACTGTACAGGCCGCTCCCCTCTCCCCGTCCCCTTACCAAAGGCTCTTTAATCCCAAACCTCACTGTGCATTCGCAAGTGTCCACTCACTATTTTCTGTACCAGAAAGTGAATGCATTAGTTTTTTTTTCTTCAAAATTCAACAAATTTAGATGTTACTAAGCCTCTAAATGTTGCAAAAAAAAAAAAAGGATGAAATGACAGTTACACGTTTCAGTGCTCAGGCACTGATGCAATCTTGCTTAATAAAAATCAAAATTAGTATTTTCTGAATGTTTCTCCGCGATAGTTTTGTCTGTGCTTTGTCATGGTATGTGCTTATTTGACCGAAGTCTGAAAAACATACACGGGTTGCCATTCCAGGTACTCATTTTCAGCAAAGTGAAGTAGAGCTTGTTATTTTATATGTAAGATTATTATTCATATTTATACTTTATTGCCTCGAGGCACATAAATCATATTAATTCATGTAGTAGAAATTGCGTGTTTTTTTTTTTTTTTTTTGCAAATGGTGCTTTGAGCATGTGTTCTTTTATAATGGAATGAAAGTTCCCAGAGGAAGCCCCCGCTCTGCACTGTTGTCATTGTCGCGCGTTCCAGCAGTCACACGTGGCTTTCACATTGCTTGCTTTGGTGTAAATCAGAAATGTGTGGTTATAGTCAGATTTGATGTTTGTGCTGAAACGTTCCCTGCTCTGCGAAGCATTTTGAAATGCTATCACACTGGCACTTAGAAACGGCTGTTCCAACATGATTTTAGGTGTTAATAATTTAAAAGGAAATGTTCCTAGCCATTAAAACCATTGCTTACCTACTGAGGGATGACAGCAATTCAGAGAATCAAATATTTTACCTTCCTTGATAATGAATTATCAAAAAGTGAATTCCATTCTCATTTAATTGTACAGCCCCTTCTCAACTCCCATTTTTACAGACCCTTAATTGTTAGTCTTACTTCTCAGGTCATGTTTCTGAAAGTGTCAGGAACATTTCTAGAAGGCTCTGATCCTCTCATCTTGTGCATGTGGCACCTTGTTCTGTCCATATCAGTGTTGAATCAGTGGTTCCTGCGTCATAATGCAGAAACACAGCATCCCTTTCTCTATTTATTGTTGCCATCATCCAGCAAATTTTGCTTTTCCAAAGTAACTGGTTATGTCTCTTTATACCAAGAAGAACTAAATAGATCATATAGTGAGATGAACTCTTCCTCCTCCTCATTTCCTAAAATTCAAAAGTTTGCCTACCCATAAATGGACTCACCTGCTGATGTGGGATTTACGGTGATTTCTTTTTCAGATTTTTGTTGCTGTTCACCAGGAGGTAGTGCTATTGAAAGATGCCGTGGCATAGCTGGGGTTGGGGGATGTTGAGAAAAAGTGGCCAAAAGCTGAGACTAATTATATTTATTACAAATAGCACTTTATTGCCACATGTAGTAGGGGATGTCATATAAACCAAAATTCCGGGGACAGTACAGAGAGAAGGAATGGTTCGTGTTGATTAGGGTATCAAGGATGCCAACTGAGGCACAGAGTGAAGTTAGCTTCAGGGAGATCGTTGGTGTCTCTTGGTCACCTAAGATTTGGGGAACTCTCGGGATTCCAGTTTGTCTGTCAGGCTGTCCAGGAGGTGTGAGATGTGGAGTTCACAGGGTTCCTAGTGGATCTGTTGTTTTACTATCATAACTAAGAATTCCTCAATCTGATGGAACAATAATTAATAAAACAATTTACTCCAATGGTATTGAGCATAATTATATATAATATATATATATATATAACCACATCTCTGAGGACTAGGATATCAGGTCCTAGGGAACTTAGCCATTTCTTCTTTAAAAATCCTTATCTAGATTTTATACATATACAAATATATACATACACATATATATATAAATTACATGTATACTTGTAGTAGGCTGATATATTTATAATATTACTTATAATTTATGTATACTATATAATATGCACATATTTTAATTTTGATTATATAAACAGCATAAATTTAAATAGTGTCCATTTAATACAATCACAATATTAAGAAATGATAGATGGAATTTGTTTCTGTTGGAATGTTAATTTTATTATTGTTTTGTGTCCAAAAGTCTTAAGAGGATGGATACTATTTATTGATCTCCCATTACATACCACAAATCTATTTATTTCCTGTGTTTCTTCAGTTCCATTAAATATTGAAAAAATATAAGAAATATGCACAATTTTCTATGTATCCAAAACAAATTCTGGAAGACTAAGTAACTTTCCTGAGATCATAAAGTTAATAAATTCCCGAAGCAGCAATAATTACTCTACTGCTTTTACTTGGAATTACTATCCCTAAATCTTAATCCTGGGCAACTTTCTACAGAGACATTGCAGTTAATTTTCTCAGGGGAAATCCATGCTTAAAATTATGACCATCATTTGCAGCCCTACAATAATCAGTATAAATTAAATTTTTTTGGTAAGATGAGAAAGTTCTATTTTATAAAAATGAATGAATCACTTATTTACACTTAAAAACGCAAATGAACGGTGTAACCATGACTGTTAGTAAAACTGTAAACTGTAAAATGGGAGACAGTCTTTTCCCCCCAAATAAATTAGATGATTATTCTTTAATGATAGCAAATAAAGCAGTAATTTGACTCGCTTCAATTTTAATTTTTAAAATTAAAAAAAACTGAAACTGTTCATAAAACCTAGAGTAATAATTGGTGTAATCAACAAAGTATATCTGATAATATTTGCTAAAATCATGATTGTTATTTGTAATGTTTTAATGTTGGCATTATTTGTGTCTCTTGATGGGGAGTCAAAGTCTGGATTAAAATCTGATATTTTTCAATGGACATAAAATTGCATGTATTTATGCTGTACAATGTGATGTTACTTAAATAGATATACATTTTAGAATGACTATATGTAGCTAATTGACATAAGTATTACCTATATAGATATAATTCTGTAATATAGGCACTGAACATGTGTTCTTTGATTTGTGAAACATTCAGTGGAAGGGTCTTACAAAGTGGATAGAAAATGTACATTGTCTCTTAATTTCGTTCACATGTGTTTTTGGAAAATTCTTTTGTCTTGTTCATAGCCATAATCACCCCGTTGTACAAATGATCTTAGCAGTCGGGTAGGGCCATGCAATGCAGAAAGCCAGGACCTCTATACTGGTCTTGAACACCTGTACCAGGGACTCCAGGACTTGGGTCATATTCCGCTGCTCTCCAAGATGTGTTAGTAAGAAACTGGATGAAAAACGGAGCAATAAAGTGTCCACCTGTCTTGGGATACTCTCCTGGGTGCCGGGATCCCAGGGGTGGCTTCATGTGCCGGGCAAACCTTCTCCTGTACCATCAGTTGTATCTGCGTGTCTTACTAAACACCCCTGCAACCGCCTTCTTCCTAAAAGATATTCAGAAAATATTTGTATTGAGTGATGCGTTAACCAAAATGTTAATCTATCAATTGCTATATATTTGTATACAAAAATATTTAATGCAAGCCCCATGAATTAGCTATATGAAAGTTGGTATAAATATATTACTGTTTTCTTAAAATTAGTTTTCACAGAATCCTGTATTTAAACAAGTACAAGCATAGTCCCTTTTCTGTCATCTTTTATGATGTGTCAGCTAAGAAAATAGTGTGGCATAATTTATAATTAACTTTTTGCATTTATTGTTATATGTTGCTTTTATTTATTTGTGAGGGTTGCAGTTCTCAGCTATGGAAGCACATATTTTGTTAAAAGTGACTTTATAGCTGGATTATACGGTATGATCAACTAAATATTCCGCACATATATTATAATCATTGTAAAGTGGTTTTGTTTTATGAGCAACTTTAGGGAATATACATGTGTTACAAAATTGCATTTCCTAGATGTAGAGTAATATATGCCTATCATAAAATCTAGCCAGTATTAGATTTAGTGAGAAAAATCCTTTCCTAGTGCTGGAGGAAGTCCAATGCACAGATACAAATAATTCTGAGTAACTTTACCAAAGGACTACAGAACCTCCAAACAGAAGCCACTTCGACTTTTGGCTAAGGTGAATGGAAGTAGAATAGCAAGGGTGTGAACTAGTCTTGTGGTAGCGAATGTGGCTGTCACGAGCTGGAACTTAATCTGAATAAATCTGTGTAGCTATTACCAAGCTAATTTTTGCAGCCATACAAGAAAGTACCTCTGTGTAGTTGCAGATCTACTTATACTGTCTATCCAAGTTAGAATTGAGCATCTCATTTACTTAGTTTTCTATTTTACAAGTAATAATATTGTTCAG